ACACCTCCACATGGTCATTGTTATAGAAGATGGGCAAGCAATGCTCTCATAGTTTTTAAGGAAAGAGAAAGAAACTATATATAGGTCATTGCGGAACTTATATATAAATCAATTTATTTCAAGAATTCGTTTGCATGTAGGGGTTTTTAGAAGTGGGAGGAAACCAAAATACCCAGAAAAAAACCTCTTGATATTGGACGGTCGACCCTACGCCTTGTCACGTACAACCATGCCACTTGACTCAATGACAGACCTTATTATATAAAAATTTCTGAAGACCATGTGGGCATTAAGTGCCTGTCTAAAGTCTATAGTTATACATAACCATTGCTCCAAGGTAACGCACTATATCTTAATTGATATGTGAAAATTCGCAAATGTGCGAGACTAATCACAGGAAGATTTTTAGACGACCTATAACCAAAAGCTCATTCAACATGGAATAATCATACGCAAACATAAGTGGCTCTATTCTCAGACCTTGATGTGAATGAAACACTTGGATAATATTCAGAGACCAGTCTGACTGCAGTGTACAAAGGATTATACCATTTTAATTCAAACAGTGTGAATTGAGTTTATTGATGTATTATTTTGATTAAAAAGTTCTATGACTAAATTTTCGTTGACAGATTAAAGTTAGTTTGTGTAAGCTTACTAATTTTAGTTGAATTGTTAACTTATTAATTAGTCGTCAGCTATTGAACACAAAGTCGGTTAACATCACAACACTGCTTCATTATTGGTCGTAAAATTTTTGAGCAAAGACAAATCGTCACCTTAAGGGCGTTGAGTGGTCTAAGATACCACTAACTTTTCAACACCAATCTTATTAAGACTTTGCACACTTGCTCCATGTGTAAAATAACCCAGTCCGACTGTTTTTTGTGTAATAATGGAGATACAAGCGGAAAGAAAAAACCTATTTATAGCAAACGAGAAGGTTTCTCTTACCTAGATTAATTCTTGAATAAATTATGATGCTGTACACATAGTTCATGTCATCCGCAGTAAACAATCATGGCCGCCTCCAGCAGCAGCTTCATACTGGATCATTGACGTCTATCTATATATGATGTCAGAAGGAATTCCCTCTAAGACGCAACTATCCAGGTGTATTTAGCAACTTGAACATTGCTGAATTTCATTTTTTGATGGTCTAAGACTACCATTTTTGAATGTATAAAATGAATTTGAGAGCGGCGGAGTAGTGCACTGAAGTACATGTAAGTATCTAATTTTTACATCCGCATTGTTGTAGTTTAAAACTTTTTCGAAGGTAAATAATCAACAAAGATTTTAAAATAGGTTGAGTTGATATTTTATAACATTTTTGGTGTCGAAATGTTGCTTATAACCTCTGCTTTCAATCCACAAAGGGGATTATCTATATCACTTTTAAGGGGATCATCACTTTTTGGCGTTTCCAGGGATACCAGACAAACCAGAGCTTATAGCCAAAAGTTGTTCAATAGTTTTTTGAATTGCAATTAGCATTGTTCATGCCAAATTTGATAAAAATTCATGCTTCTGGTAAATAAAATTGGTATTTCTTTTGGTGATGAATACATGTACATGTATGTAGTGTATCACCCCAAATAACAAAAAATGACATATCTTATGAACAAAACTTACAGTGCTAGCTTTAAAATGTGCATTTTAGAGTACTCAAATCAACACTAATCAAAGACTTCTAGTTCTATTTAATTAAGGCCTGCATAAATGTGCAACCCAAATAGAGACAGGTATTTCATGAAAAACACTCTGTATGAGATTAGTTAGTGCTAAACCATTTCAGTTTGTATTACTGGTAGATCCAATCTGATTAAAATACAGATCTATATTTCGTTCCGTGTTTTTTATACTTTCGATGGCCTACACTACATGAAGAACTGACCGGTTGTGGCGATAGGTCGAATCAGAGGTCATACGAGCGGCTTTTGACCATTATAACGTTAGACATTTGATTAACCAATCAGCATTGATGTTACTAGTAGATTACCCACAGTTCCGTGCAAAACACGACTAAAGCTTGCCGTAACAGACCGTTTCATTGGCTAATTTCTCACACCATTCAGAACACGTCAATGATAACAACTCTTCCAGATCCTAGTGTAGTAAAGACAAGTAAAACGAAGTTTTGAACTATAAAAACAAAACGAAACAGGATCTGTGTTTTAATCAGATTGTGGTAGATCTTCTCTACAGGTTTCAAAGAGGTTCTTATTTCTATACATTCCTGCTTGTAGATACCCAGTAAATTCTACTGAGAAACAGCTAATGAAAAAAACCAAGCAAATTGTCACCTTCCTGGACTTGTTACAGCAACAGGAATTATTATTATAATAGCCTATTTCAATGTCTGAAACAGTGGCGGCGCCAGGGGGGGGCAAGGCGGGGCAAATTAATCTGGTCTGCCCTCTGTTTGCCCCCCAATAATTTTAGAAAATAAAAAAAAGTATTTGTGATACCTTTCGGTACTCAATACCTTCTACGGTGAATAAATCCCACATCCCCACTCAGTCATAAACTTGCATGTTGTAGAGCATTTCCGACAGTCAATTTTTCAAAATTTTCTTGGCGAGGTCCCCAATGGACTCACTACTTTGGCCCTCACAAGGGGAATTCATTGAGTTTCGCAAGTCCATTCGTTTGACATTTTGTTCTCTAGTCGGATAAACTAGGGATCAGGCGACGGACGGTATCTGGTCAGATCTTTTTATCTCGACGATCGGTGCCTGGGAATACTATAAGACAGCATTTCCGGCAGTCTATTTTTCAAAATTATCTGGGGGAGGACTTCCTACTTTGACGCTCGCGAGTGGGCTTCGTCGCGATTCGCAAGTCCGTTCGTTTGACACTTTACCTCATCGATCAGTGCCTGAAATACTGCCAGGCTGCATTTCCGGCAACCTGTTTTTCAAAATTTTCTGGGGGAGGCCCCCTACCCCTAGTTGAAGCTTGTGCTGTCTTTGCCCCCTTAACCTTGGACTTTGCCCCAGCTTTGCCCCTCCAATCACCGACGGCTGGCGCCGCCACTGGTCTGAAATGAAACATAGAAAAAGCGAACCTGTCTGATTGGCTAAAGACCCTAATTCATATTATAAACCAATAAGCCAGGTACAGGTCAACATTTAAAGTCGAGGAAACAAAATCTGACCACATGTGACATTACATATCTCAGAGTGTTCACCTGTGCTGAAGGGAGGTAACTCGGTATGATTTCCTACCAAACTTTTAAAAAGGTCAATTTGAGTTATTTCAGTATCAAATTACAATAAATTTATGTAAAATCTATAATATACCTTCTTGATATATAAGATATGGTGGATATAGTTTTTGTTGAAATGAAATGATTGAAATGGGGTTTTACATCCTACTTTTCAGCACTAATACCAGGCTAATATAATGAGGGCCATCCACACTACACTTATTTCTTATTCTGTGTATCCATGGTTCTTTGATGAATAAGGGGAGTGGATTGGCTAGTGGATTAATGTGTGCGCATAAAATCACAAGGTCTGTCTCTGTCATTAAGTCTAGTAGCATGGTTTGGGTACGTGACAAGGAGTAGGGTCACCTGTCCAACCTCGTGGGTTTTCTCCGGGTCCTCCTGTTTCCTCCCACTGTTAAAGGCTCCTGCACGAAAAGCGAATTATTGAAATAAAATTGAACCATATTAGTCCTGAAAGAACCTAGTTTGTGTCAAGCAGATGTTAAACCCTAGGCCTATTTCTCTCTCTTTTTGATGATCATGCCAATGTGTACAAAGGCTTCAAAGGACCTCTAGGACCTCGGCTTCCTTCCCATATGCACAATGACAATCCAGAGGCGCTTTCTATTCAACCTCGGGACATTCTGTTAGCAAGCTAGCACCTTACTCACACAGAAGGGTACCCAGCGCAGATAAGACTACTTGTCTGTAGTATTATTAATGTTTACCGTATGTGACTTTGTCTAAATGCCGGAATACTGTCCTTATGGATGTTTTGAAGCTATACTAGAATTCAGTAGTAGAAAAACCATGAATTGAAAAGTCAGACTATAAAGGCGAGGGGGGGTCACTTTCAGTTTCAGATAATTTTTCTACTAAAATATTTATATGCCTGTATTTCATGTGTTATATGACTTTGCCTAAATCACTGTAGTGGATTCTGTCCTTGTGGATGTTTTGAAGCAATACATTTTTTAGCTCTCTGTATTTCGAGATAAGAAGGTACTATAAAGATCCAACTGGCAAACCCCAATGATGCTAATCACACTGTGCTTCAAACAAGCAAAACGGACAATTTTTTCTTCAAACATTGATTGATTATTGTTATTTATATTTCTGCCACATCCAACTACAATTAAGCATATACATGTATATATACCTGACACTAATACAAATCACCCCTTTTAAATCGAAGCGATAACAGCTTGCTGTACCCGGCATTTTAAATTTGCCGTTTTAAATTTGACATATTTACGTCATGGAGGCAGGACTAAAAATATGTCATACAACAGCCAATCAAAAAACACAAAAAATAGGATAAACTTTATAGGTCGCAAGAATGGCCTTGGCTTGTAAGTCAGTTAAAACTTTTAGAAACACCGGTTGATTAATTTAACTTTACTGACAATGTTTTACTGATAAACGAAAAAGCGTTTCATTATACATTAGGCTGGGTATGTTTAACTAGTCCTAATACATAGGCACTTGAAGGGATTAAAATAAAACTTCTTACCACTGCTTATTAGTATTAAATAGTATTATTATATTAACATTAATAGTGTAAGCAGTTTATTTTAATCCCTTCAAGTGCCTGTGTCCTAATAATAGTATAAAATTTGTCAGGTAAAACTAAAGGCATCCAATCGTAGCTAAAAACAAGCACATATATAGTATCCCAACGTTTCTAGCTATATTCTTGTCAACGTAGCTAATTAGTAGGCCCCCATGTAGGCCTATACATTTTTATCTTAGGTTTATATATAATTTGGCTATACCTCATACCTACCCAGTATAAGAATGACCATACACGTTACACACACAATGCCTCTGGATTTTCAGATATCAAGATAGTGGTTGTCACAAGTGACTAATAAATCAATTTGACAAATGTTAAATAAAATGAGTCTAACTTTAGCTAATTCCAATAATCATCTTTGTCAACAACACGTACAAAATAGAGATTTATGGTTACAGGGGCAGATAACTCACAATACTTGTATTACTTTGAGGAACAAACAGGCAGTTAATATCTCTATCTTTCTATTCCCTTTCATTTTTGTGGAGGCGTTTCTTCACTAAATGCAAGGTCTTTTTAAAATAAAATATGTACTTTAACCATTTGATACACTATTCCTCGTGTTTAGTAAGATTTTTGCCTTGCTTATGTGGCGCATTGTTTACAGCAGCAATGTAATGACAGGGCCGGCGGAAGCAATTCTTGATTGGGGGGCTTCCATCCTAGGTCCTTCTAGGCGTGGGTCCAGGGGCCGCAATAACCTGGAGAAAAGAGTACTTGCGGCCAAATTATTGGGGGGGGGGGGGCTAAAGCCTCCCCTAGCCCCCCCCCCCCCCACTCCGCCGGGCCTGAACGATAAGTGTTCTGTCCATGGACCTTATAATAGGTCCATGGTTCTGTCTAGATAAAGTTATCATTACAAGAAACCCCATCTGAAGAGAAACATTACAAAGCCAGCCCACTGCTGGTATGCTGATTGTGTGAGTAGGCAGAATAATTTTTGGTCCCTTCGTACGAAGGAGAAATGGGGTTTAACGTCCATTTAACACAAACCGGGTCATTTCAAGATTAACAAGGTAAAAATTTGGGTATAGGAGTCTTTAACAGTGGTTGAAAACCGGAGCACCCGGAAAAACCAATGAGGTTGGGCAGGTGACTGTACTCCTTGTCACATTCTTAAGCGCGAGATTGAAACCATGCCACTTAATTTAGAGACATGACTCTGCAACGATTAATGTAAAAACAAAAATAAAAAACAGTTGCTTTACATTTCATTTATTGTTTATGTTGTCAAGTTTCTTACATATTTGTCTTGTGGTACATTCTTTATTAAAGAGGAGGTGACAAATAATTGTAAATAAAACTTGGATAATATATTAATCAACATGACATTCAAGTCTGAATAACTAAACACCCAGCATATTTTGAGTGTAACAAGTTTTTTGAAAATGTATAACAAGATAATACTTTTTATAAACTTTTGGCACATTAGAAAATTTTGGTGAATACAACCATGGACCATAAAGACCATGATACAACTTAAAGATGCATTATATAAGATTTAGATGAAGATCTGGCCATTCTTGCTATAATAGTTCAAAACAGATAATGAAAAATGAATACTGTATATTAAAAATTTCAGTCAAATTACCATATTCTGAGCAAAGTTATCAGTCTCAATTGTCAAGTACCATTGTTATGACATTAAATAAGTCTTGATTATCCATTTTTAAATCGAATAAGTAAATGGCAATCAGGTTTCAATCCATTGAAAATTTGCGACCATCCAATTATGGGCTTGTCATGTGAATATATATTTGACTAATAATTTATATAAAGTTTGAGGCCAAAAGAAAGACCTGTAATATGCAGAATTAGGTCTTATATAATGCATCTTTAAGAATGTGTGAAAATATAAATATACTTCAGTTGATATAGAAACGATTCTAGATATAGGTACTCCTGCACTTACAATTAAAAAAGTCATCAAATAATCAGTAATCCAAAAAAAATATAATATATTAAAAAGATATATTCCCTTTCAAACTGTAGTAGCACATCATTTATAAATAAAAAAAACCTCACAAACATAAAGATACTTCAAATATTATCTATTTACATTATGTTAAACTTACATGTAAAGATAACATTTTAATCTTATATTCCTTTGAAATTATTTAGGTCATCCATAACCTGAACATTTATATTTAACTGAAAATATATATTTGTTACAACGGGAGAAAAATAAAATCACAGCCTTAAAGTGATTAGTAAGCCTGCAATAATTAAATAAGAAAGAAATCCTTTGTGTACTGCAAGTTTATCAGAGGACATAAAGCTCACAGCTAGTCGTATAACTATAGGCTACTAACACCACACACTTGCTTAGCTAAGTGATGTCTCTACTTACTGGTAATCATAATGGCAGTATTTTTAGATTTTAAATAGAACAGAATTTCTCAATCACAAGTTGTAATCTATGGTGTCTTTACCAAAAAATATGTTTTCCAGTCTCTAACTAAACAATGTCAAATATATCATCAAGGAAGTAAAACTCATGACATGAAATACACAAACCATAATGGTCAAAGCAATATTGTTCTTACTAATAAGTAGAAATAATATTTGAATGGAGACAGAAACAAATTAAGCATTCTAGACACATAAAACACAATCAGGCAAAACACATAATTTCTAGCCACATATTTACATCTCTATATGGTTGTTGACATTTAGTGGAAACTCAGCAGATGGGCTAATGCTTTTATAGTTATCTGCATCTCAAAATAATATCTTAAATGGTCATTTATCTTCATAAATAGCTCAGGGAGAAAAATTAAGTGTAGGTGAAAAATGTCCAATATCCATAGTATAACTTTGTGATGCTAATGGGCTTGGTGTACGGACATTACGAAATTTATTTTTAAAGGCAACAATCAATGCCTGATGCAATGGTTCACTAGATTCAACAACTTCTTGACGAATAGGTGTCCCTCCTGGGGATCTAAAAATAAAAGGAAAATAATGTTTTATATTATAAACTTTTTTTTGCTTTTACACATAATCAATATAACATTCACCCCTATTTAAGACGTGGCAATGTCATTGTTAGATCAATGACTAAAAGCTAAATGGTGTATGCTTTTGTAAATGAAAATATTTCAATGAAGTCTTAATATTTCTAATTGAAAGCAAACACCAAGTCTATCCCACTAAACAATCCTAATGCATATTAAAACTTTTACTAAGACCCTTTTCCTACTATTACAACCGTTTAGGATTCTTAACATAAGTTAAAGATACATTCCCACAAATATATTTATCGGGTGGTTATTTCCAATAAAAGTATGGCAATTTTGGTATATATATGGAAACACCCAATCTTACTTAAAAAATACTGGATTCATTTAAAAACAATCATAGAATGGACACATGACAAAAATGAGAGGGTGTCACTTTTTGGCAATCTGACGATTACCAACAGTCTGCTCGAGTGTCGTCAACGGTTACACGTGCAGATTGTCTGACCTCTTTGCACTAGGGATATGTTGATAAACAGGATGACAAGCTGACTAAACTACCGAAAAAGAAGTTGGCAGGGGATAATCCCAGAATTTACTTAGGCTTAGGCATTTATGGTAAATGGACAGTGATTAAAGACAACATTGTCTTTTATACGCAATGAATTATCCCTCAGCTTGGCTAGTTTTCGCGACCGCGAAGTGACACGACAAACATGGCTTCTTGAAATAGATTTCGATAGATATACGCTTGTTCTGACTTTATGGCATACTATAGTCTAGGTTTATATTCTTGTTCTGACTTAATATACTGTATACTATAGGTTTATATTCTTTATCTGACTTAATAGACGATATACTATAGGTTTGTATGCTTGTTCTGACTTTATGGCATACTATAGTCTAGGTTTATATTCTTGTTCTGACTTAACATACGACATACTATAGGTTTATATTCTTTTTCTGACTTAATATATAGTATACTGTAGGTTTATACGCTGGTTCTGACTCTATGGCACACTATAGCGTAGGTTTACATTCTTGTTCTGACTTAACATAAACTATAGGTTTATATTCTTGTTCTGGAATACTTTGAAATCGTTAGTTAACAGTGAATAAATCGATGCATCCAAACAAACTACATCCTACCTTGTAACAGCTGTTGTTCGAAGACGAGTTAATGGATTGTTAGACTGAAGATCTGATAAAAGATTGGATCGAGAAAATGTTGAGCCATTTGATGATTTGGAAACACTGGATCTGAAAAAGGGAAATACATGTTATTAATTTCTATGTTGGTTTTTTGGTTGCATAACTGACATAAAGTCTGCTAGAGGGTCATGTGAGGAGTTACCCCATTCTGTCACAGTTAATGATTGGTGAAATGATCTATTAAGAAATATCTTCAGATATTTAATGTGTAAAATTGAACATAGGTTGCCAGGTAACAAAACATATCCCCTAGCATTTAACCCATTCAAGCAGTTATGCGCTAAATAACTCAATAAAAGTCCATCAAGATCAGACCATAATTGAACAAGATTTTGTAACAAAGGACAATACCTCTTGAAATAACATTAAAAATTGTCGAAAAATAATAGGGTTCTTTCAATAGTATAGACAACCCATATAAATTTCATTTTTTATTGACAGTGCTAACAAGATTTCATAACAAAAATGCATTGTCACATTACTGTGCAGGTGATTATCGATAAATGTTGAAAATCAATAGGATAAAACAATGAGATCAACAGCAAAGATTATGCAGTCTCTATTTTTTTATAATAAATGTGGACATGGGTAATGGCTATATATAATCACATTAAAATGTGGATTTATAAAAATAAGTGGGCCTTTGTTACTACTAAAACCCATTAGAGATTCTAATGTCACTATGAGCCAAGGATAGTAATCAATATTGAATAATAATATGACACAGTAAAGCAACTTTGCATGATTTGCATTTTGTCGGAAAAAATATAATTTCTCACGGCTTAATTCCTGCTAATATTTACTCAGATTAATTATTTAAAGATACATTATGTAAGATTTAGATAAAGAGCTAGCCATTCTTACTATAATAGTTCGAAAATAGGTAATGTAAAATGAATAATTTGAAAATTCCATTCAAATTACTCTATTGCGAGCAAAGATATTAGCCTTTGAAGGTTTGAAAAGACGTGTGCAATAATTTCAACCACCGTACTGGTTGTTCGAAGCTAAGTCTCGCTCCTCCATTTTGAGCTTCAATCAAAATATGGCTGAACTGTTCTAATCTATTTAATATCGGTGAAATCTGATACAATCGAGAGTTGATTATGGCCTGGACAAGTTAATTAATGTCTAATTAATAATTTAGAAAATATTTCAGGCCTAAAGAAAAACCTGCAATAGGCAGATTTAGCTCTTGCGTAATGTATGTTTAACATGTAATTAATAAAAAAAAATCACAATATCAACACTAGATAATCTCCTGACTTGGATTGAATAGGATTAAAAACAATTAGATTTCGGAAACATGACAAGACAGAAGGATGCTTGTTATCATATCATGCCGTCATCCGAAATAATAAACTATATCACTCAAATCATGCTCAGGGACTTTAAAATAAAATATATTCGTACCTTGTTCTTCTATGTTTTCGTACTCTAATATCTTTAGGTGTGACAAACTAAAAGATAAATAAAATGTATTGTTCAATATTCAAAACATCAAATCAAAAATAATATTGCCAATATTCATAAAATAAAAACCTTTAAGATTTGTTGAAGTTTTGAAATTTAAATTGAATTACAGTATGAAGATGAATAAATAGAAAGTCTTACTGTGTTTGGTGTTGACGTGGTAACATGGGATGTACTCGAAGCACTGGAGGTGCTTACAGGCTCACTTGATTGATCAGGATTGATATTCTCTGTGTTATCTTTTACCCTGGTGTAAACTTCTTTGTTAGGTTGAGGTGTTGGGGGTAACGGAGGATGAACCATCTGTAATAACAAAATAATAATTAACATACAGTACTCAAATCTTATTTAGTTTGCCTTAATATATTCTGATACAGACAATAAACTCTGTGAAGGATGTGTCAGCAAATTTACAGCGTTAATCTGTTGAAATTAAACCAATGGGCATATCTATGGAAATCAAAATCTCTTAAAATTTAGATCTTAACAATTGAAAATGGCAATAAACGTGGTTCCAGTTTCTAGAAATATTGTTATAGAAAAAAGTGTGGATGATCCAAAATTATTGTACCTCTATGTGTGCTTTTTGAGTACTTCTAGTAAACAACTTTGATGGTAAGGGTGGTTGGGGTGGAGGAGAGTAACTCTGATGTACTTGTTCCTCATCTTCTGGATGTATTTCTGCCATGTTAATCTGTACAAAAGGAGACTCTCGAGTTTGTAAATAATCAAGTCTCTGCTTTTTCCTGCTCCCAGGTGTCTTAGAAACAGGTGTGCTATATCTACTGAAACTATTTTTAGTCCTGTCTTTAGATGCTGAACTCGGAATTGCTTTGTCTTTGGAAGCTGAAATAATATAAAAGGATTTCAATTTAATGTTCACAGGGTACATAGAATACTTAAACTTATATGGAAGATAGTTTGAGCTTTATAAATTTGTTGTATTTAATTCTATATTGTTAAAATTGGTATCAAAAACTGATCTTAAGTGGAATAATTATTTAATCAAAATGATGCACTCAGCATATTACTAAGATGGGTAAATGGTTGGACTTGCATGTGTACTGTCTTTTTTTCTGAAGTAGAATTTCCACAATGAACGACATATATATACTTTTCCTATGAAACTACCTTCACACAAACAAGCAGGAACCTTTCTATTGTAACATATAACTTTAATTTCTTTACCTTCTGAATACTCAAAAACCTTCTGCATTCCAGTTTTTAAGGATTGTAATTTTGATGTAGTTTCTTCTGTCGTGAGCATACATGATGGACAATCATTTCCATGTAACCATCGTAGCACTGTCAACTTTAAGAACAAAAAAAAAAAAACAAGATAAAAATCATTTGAGTTAAATAAAAATTTTAAATTCATTTCAATACATGAAAGAACATGTTTTTGAATATTGGTATCTACTAAATGAATTATTTTCTTTTAGTTTTTTTAATGGACAACATAGGATCATCTCCTGGGACTATTTGGGCCTTGTAAAATAAGTACTGCCTTCTGTAACATATGTGACATTAACTCCTTACTACCTTGAGCCAAGAGAAGAAACCTCCATTTTCTATTTCTTCAACTTTCCTCTTTAGAAGAATTTTATTATACGACTGTGGATTTTTTTCTAGAAATTCCACCAATTCCTGAAAGAAAAGACATAATTGTTAAGTTAGCTAATAAGTTCACCAAAATCAATGTCCACTAATCTTGCTAAAAAGGTTTTAAAAAGTCTGAAATTTACAAACAAAATATTCTAAATTTCTAGATTCTAACTTTCCAAGTAATGCTCCTCTAAAATGTCAGCCTTTATTGTGGTAACAAATTTTGGCAGTGAAAATGTTAACAAAAAGATGCTTTCAATCTTTAAGATCTAATAATTTTAAAATTCAGTGACATAAACAAAATCATCAAATTTTAATTATTTTAAATAAATTCCATCTAAAACTTGATCACAATTGTGTTCACCATATTTTCATACGCAGAATTTGCAATCATAACATTCTGAATTTTGATGGGAGGTTATCTCATGATCCAGTAAACAATCCCTGATAATTTGAAAGTTTTGCATTTCCTGTTGAATAAGTTTTTAAGAAAGATTGAAATTTACAAACAAAATGTTCTCTCTGTACAAATTACCTCTAAATGTTTATGTGTTTCATTTGTAATATTTTCTTTATATTCTTCTTCTGATTTTTGTTCACAGAAAATTTTATCAGCAGGAATAGTCTGTGGTTCTTTGAATTCTTGCAATAATAAATCCACATTGGAATTGGGTGAATCCATGATAACCTAATAGTACAGAAAACAAATATATTTTTATAATGTTATTGTTTGTCCAGGTAGCCTAAACAATAAGCATGTCATTCAAACACATAACTTACATGTACCATAGGAAGACTCAACAAATAATAATTTCTGCTTCCTCATTTGGTAATATTAATGAAAACTACTGGTGAACTTTCAGCGTATAAATATGTGGTTGGTTGCCAATTTCAGCTTACCCAATCAGCTTGTTTTTGTATTGAAAGCTTGTAGTTGTAAACAGAATACAGTAGAGAGAGGCCTACTTTAATAGATTTTTAATAATCCTCAGTTTTTACTGCAGAGAAGACCTACTTATACTCACACTGATGAACTGATTAATTATCCAATTTTTTCCTACTCTTAATCAACAAGGAGGCGGAACTGAGGTTATTGAAACAATGGTCAATGTCAATGCCAGTGTAAGATCATGATACATACACAGTAGATTTCGCATGTTCGGTACATTTTGTTCCCGGTGTGATAGTTTGAGTTGACTCCTGGCGTGTGTTTTCTCCTGGGCACTTGCGCATGTCCGAAACTGATGTTTGCCTTAACAACGAAACTATATCTACTTCCTGCAGTGTGAGTTGGTTCCTGACCACTGGTCAGTACAGGAAAAAATATATCATGTACTTGATTAGAGTTTTGTCATTAATAAAATACTTGTTGACGTGATTAGCTGTTGTTTTAGTGATCAGTAGTTACACGATCAACGGATCTAAGTTGATTGGCTTGAAATTGATACTTCGTTCGTGATTTGTTGCCGTTGTTTTTTTTTAGTGATTAGTCGTTCTACACACGTACGATCAGTGGAAACCATACAAATTGATGATTGGCTTGAAATTATCAATTAATTCACCTCCAAAGGAAGATTAAGGCCTTTGATGTTTCGTGGCTTCATTTAACACAAATATAAAAGTATGGAATTTCTTATTCCGATTTCTTTAACATAAATATAAATTTATTACACCATCCCATACTACATTCAAACATGCATGTAGACAGCCCAAATACAAGAGAGAATGTTCGCATTGTGGACGGGTATATATACTAAATAATAATAATAAAGATCGTCAATTTGCATCCTCTCTTCTTAGTGGTAATATTGTAAATATATAATAGTCTATAATATATTGATTTGACCGTAAGCCGGTCTGTGTGAACTACACTTTAAAAGTCGATAATATGATGAATAAACTGTGATCTTAAATCCCTGCTGACTGATTTATTAGAACTTGGGCAAATAATTTAGATGCTAAGACTAATTCTGTAAAAAAATAAACAAAAGTGTATACTCTAACTTCTTGATCCTTTCAAATCTCGCGCACTTGTTTACTAACTTTTTATCTTACGTGTGTGCTACTAAAATTTATAAACAAAACCAACGAAACGAATAATTAGTATATATCTTATACTATTGTGAATTATTCACTGTTTTCTGCATATCATATAACAGTTACCATAAATTATGGTTAATTATTGGGATTTGAGGTACATATAAATTTATTTATAAAATCATATCTGACTTCGTTTATCTTTTTATTCCACGTTTATTCTGCATTCCATTGATGACATCATCATCCGGGTATTGCTAGGCGGACACCGCCATTGAAAGAGACTTTAGTGCGACGAGGATCGCGCTTCTTGGCGCTTTATAGGCGACATCAAAAGTCTTTAGGGGACGTTACATCCCCTAATTGTTTTACCAGTTCACCCTCTTCAAACCAACCACCAAATTGATTATAATAATATCTTGGATCGATATTTATTTCATTTCTTTGGTTGTCAATATGGCTTTATAAAAATGTCGATTCGTTGTGGTGGAAGTTCAAGTTTCTCTGCTCAGCAGAAAGGGGAAACCCGACCTTCTGGCACCGTGTGCGTGTCACAGGACTTAGTTTATGTTGGAGGAAGAAATAAACATGGAGAAAAAGGGATTTACTCGTCAAACGTCTGTACCGCCGCCCAAGAACGGGCCATCGGCGGAAAGTAAGAAAAATGGTACGAAATCAAAGTTGAAATTGATGACTTGTGCGTTATACCTTATTGACCTTGACATTTCACAGACCATGAAAATCGAAAGTAGAATGCATCATTTTATTGTCTCTTTTTTTTCGAGGAGGGGGTTGCTTTGTTTAGACCAATTGTTTTCTTGTAGGACAATTTGCCCAATTTCACCAAAACATACCACATTTATCAAAAGCTAACATAATGATAATGCTTCAATTACCGGTAGTTCAACATCAGTGAGATAATGATAATTAAAATAATTTCCTGAAAATTACTACCAATAGGAGTTAATGTTTATTAGTATTTGATTATCATGTATATAAATCGAAAGTAGAATGCATCATTTTGTTGTTTCTTTTTTCGAGGAGGCTGTTGTTAAATTGTTTAGTAGACCAATTGTTTTCTTGTAGAACAATTTGCCCAGTATCACCAAAACATACCACATTTATCAAAAGCTAACATAATACTTCAATTAGTTCAACATCAGTGAGATAATTAATATAATTTACTACCAGTACGAGTTAATGTTTATTGGTATTTGATTATCATGTACATGTATAACTGGCATCATTTTCATCTGACAACCAAACTTAGCTATAAGATAGTTTGACATAGATATCAGTCTGCAAGAAGTCTTCGGGAATAACTTTTAAAATATTCAAATACATGTTTATACATGTATCAATAAATTGATAAACACTGATTGTCAAAATGAAATTTAAAATTAAATCTACATGTAAATCAAAAATCGGGATCAAAGTTCAGCTCATATCACATTAATCATTAATACATGTAGCTTCAAAGAGTGTGAAATACTTAATTACTTAATTGGGGATAACCAAGCAGTTTATTAATTTAGTACTCACCTACATGTATGACCTCCATCCGTTTAAAATCAATGAGCATACAATTTGCTTGGTAGGCAACAAGCCTTTTAATTCATTATGTTGATTAGTTGAAACCATATTGGTATTATGAACTCTTTATTTTTGTCACAATAATGAATTGTTGAGTAAATATCACTCCACCCATTCTTTTCTAATACAAACATTTCATACCTGACCTCTGTCTAACCCTTCATTTTTTGCTTGTGCAATACATAGATCAGAATCATAAGTGCTGCACAGATTCTAGTCATATCTTGGAAAACTGGCCTGAATTCTGGAGTAACAGCTTAGTGTATTGATCCACAATTCAAAAGCTGGTTTTATTAAGTCCTGTTGTAAGATACCAGAATCTACTTGTATTCACCACTGACTATTAGTAAAATTATTGTACTTGGGGCTACTGTGTAGTGATTTAAATGTTGATGTTTATTTCAGATAATAGCAATAAATTTCCTCGTAATACAAGAAAAAGAGAATCCCAAGCCAATGGCCGGGGAGGGTCAGATAACAATGGATCAAGAAAACCTGTCCCACAGAAATGGAGATCATCAGGTGATAAACGACCGAGATCTAGAACATTTAATCCCTTTGACCGTCAAAGAGAAGAGGTAAATAAAAAACAATGTTAAAATATATAGGCGGGATTAGTTCAATGTGATGTTAATCTTCTGTTTTCAAAGCGAAATCAGTATCTCTTTGGAAGCAAAATTCTTTTAGCACAACTTAAATTCCAATGTACTTCACCTACTGTTCTGACTGACTGATCAATTAGCTAACCACTTTATTCATTTTGACAATTAATTAAGGGGGGTTTATTGTTATCTTAAATTAAGGACTGTGGGTGTCAAGATCAAGCAATATACTTATTAATTATTGTTTGTTTGGTTAATAAATCAGATCTATATCATGTAGATTATATCAAATTGTTCATAGCTATAATTTACAAAAAATAAATGTAATCGTGTCATGTTTGAACTTGTTGAATAAAGGGAAATAACTCTAAATCTTGCACAATTCCCATGCAACCATTAACTTTTTGAGCAACATGGATGGTTCAGTCAGACTAACAAGTTTTAATTCTCTCTTTCCTCGCTGTACAGTAGTTTAAATGAAATGATGGATTTATAAAAATCCAAATATGCAGATATTTGTAATTCATTCTTCTGCAAATTCAAAGAACAATAACCCTGCATGTAATTCATTATTACTGCTAATGCTGTACTATGTGGGCCACAAGAATGGTATGAATTAGTTAATTTTTAAACAAGATAATGCACAGTACCAGTATTGTTGTTTCTATAAATAAAATACAAGTATTGACTGTATTGATCAAATATATACTATTATTAAAGTAGGATGCTAAATCTCATTTCATGTTTTAGGTAGCAGGATATGGAGATGATTCTGGTAATTATCGTTCAAAGAAAGGAAATTTAAATCATTTACTTAACTTCTCATTTGCTCCAAGAGAAGTTGATACATTTTCTGGTGGAAGTGTGCGAAAAACAAAAACTGGTAACAGAGTCAGATTTGACAAGAAGAGATTTCTTCAAGCCAAGTACGTCACCTAGTTGTTAATTTGTGTAATGAGGAAAAGTGTTTAATTATCATTGATTTGCTTTTACATACAATGTATCTGTCTACTTTTAAAATCAACAGAACCAGTGTGGGGATATCACTGTTGACAGTTTAAACCAAAAACAAAAATAGTAAACAAACCACCTTCCGTTTAATATGTCAAAATGCGTATGTAGTCCTAATACATGTAGATCTTCTCCCATCACTAAGTGACACTAACCAAAATTAAATACATTAACCCACTCTCAATATGGTGGTTGTCATCAATCTGAAACTTTTTTCCTGACTTTTAACTGCATATGTTAGTAAGAAACATTCAGAATCAGATGGTTTGCAAAATTGTTGACAAATAGAAATTTTCAAATCTTGTTTATTTTATTGTAGTTTTCTTGGAATTCTGCAGACACTCTTAAATAAAGATTTTGGCAATTTTTAGATCAAAAGTCCATGAATTTAATTATGTATCTGTTTTCTTGTTGAAAGCGATATATCTTCAGTAAACAGGTTGCTGTCTTGCCCTATTTGAAATTAAACCTATGATATAAAAATCAGTTGGATTTTATTGTAGTAAAGAGTTGACTGAAATAGATAATAATTATTATGTGTAAAAAAAAAATTTGCTCTTAACAATTTTTAGGAGTACTAGGATTATACAGAAACATTTGATATTGATTTTAAAGTTCTTCCTATTTCAATCAAACCTTATAATTTGTATGAATTTAATTTTGTTATTGTAGCTGTCAGTTTATTGTACAAGATACCGGTGATTATACTGTTCATTCTGCTGATCCTGATATACTTGTTGATTGGGATCTTATAGAACTAGTGGTAATTATATTCTTATCTCTTTTTATTGGAAAAGTAACACATACACACAATGTAAGGAGTAAGATGCTGGCTCACTAACCAGGAATTCCCAGATTAGTTCCCATTGTTGTCTGAGCTGGTTTCTACTGGTAAGGAACAGCATCTGGTCGTTCACCCTGGACGAAAAACTGATATCCAATGTACACATTGCCATGCATGTCTAAATTAATGGGGGGGGGTATTTGGATGGCCGAATGGTTAGCACGTGCGTGCTGTATCATAAGACCTGTCATTGAGTCAACTGGCATGGTTTCGAATCCCCGGTTGTACGTGACAAGGAGTAGGGTCGCCTGTCCAACCTCGTGGGTTTTCTCTGGGTCCTCCGGTTTCCTCCCACTGCTAAAGACCCCTACGCGCAAACTAATTATTGAAAATAAAATTAAACCATGTTAGTCCCGAAATGACCTAGTTTGTGTCGAGTGGACGTTAAACACCATTTCTCTCTCTCTCTAAATTAATGGAATTTGATGAAAAGCAGGGAGCAAATACTGCTCTCTAGCCAAAAAGTTTCCTCGACTCACCTGGTTGGTTAAAAAAAAGTAGAAAGTTAAACGCCTTTTCTTTTCCTACACTTGTCTAAATTCTTTTTATTCAACTAGAAAGAATGCCAGTGAAATGGTGGTCAAGCATTTAAAACTAATAATTAAACTCTTCTTTCAGAGATTGTACACCTTTGAGAAACCATTGTGTCCTATTTGTTTGGATTCACCTGTTGCTGGTAAGTTGAAACAGAAATAATCCGTGAGATTTCATCAGTCTGTTATAAAGATCATTTCTTGGATTTCCTAGCTTAAATTATAATCTGAATTAGAGATTGATACAGATATATTCCCAGATTGGTATTTAGCAATTGAACACAATAAAAAACACAACACAATATATATGGGAAACAATCACTGGTTTATACACATAACACAACGTTTCAAAGCACAATGTTTCAACAAGTGTTCTCTTATTGTTATCATCATTTGTGCTTGATAGCGATAAGTGAACACTTGTCGAAACTTAGTACTATATTTGTACAAACCGGTGATTGCTTTCCAGATGAGTTGTGTTTTGTTTTTTAATGATGCAGATGAAGAAACAAGTGTAATATTATGTTTATTGCAGTCGCTTGAATTTTATTTTTCAGCAAAAGTAACTCGTTGTGGCCATATATATTGTTGGTCTTGTATATTACATCTCTTATCATTGGAAGATGGTACATGGGCCGAATGTCCTATCTGTTATAGCCCAGTTGTTGATAAAGATCTTCGAAGGTTAGTTCTTCTAAATATTTTTATAATTACACCTGTTTGAATTCTGAAATCCTGTTTTATTTGAAGTGAGTGGGGGGGGGGGAATGGTTTAATGTGTGTGCTTTACATCATAAAGTCTCATTGAGTCAAGAGGACAGGTTTCAACCCACACTTGTACGTGACAATGAGTAGGATCGCCTGTCCAACCTCCGGTTTCCTACCACTGAATTAAAATTGAATCATACGGTTTCCTACCACTGAATTAAAATTGAACCATATGTTGGTCTTGAAATTATCTAGTTTGTGTCAAGTGGACGTTAAACCCCATTTCTCTCTCTCTCTCTCTTTGCTAGATTTTATAGAATTTTATGACTAATGGTGACCATTTTGAATGTCTCAATGTAAAATTCAATTTAAGAGTTTACGCATCTGTTATATATTCCAATAATGTACACTGTCATGCTATTATTTATTCAGATTTTAAAACAATGGTGGCCTGTTTTAATATATTTTGAAACCAGGATAGGATCAGAATTGTCTGATTGCTTAGCATTTTATATTTAAATTATTTCAATGGCATTTAGTAATTTAACTTGAAATACACAGGGCACAACTTTGTGGAATACAATTACTAAATGCCATTGAAGCAATTTATATTACACTAGTACCGAGATGTGGCAGTAATTGTATTGTGCTCTGTGTATTACTTTATTGTTTTAAATGAGACTATGTATAATATGTTACAGTGCAGAGCCTATTATTGTTAAACCATATAAAGTAGGAGATAAAATAACAATGAAATTAATGAAGAGAGAAGCAGGTTCAACTTATTCTCTACCTGTAGATAGCTGGTTAAATAGACACGGAAAACCTCACAGTATCAATGGTAAGTTTGTAACAGTAATTATAGTTCTGTGAGTTATCACTATTAGGGACGCTGGTTAACTTTTGATAATTAAAACTCTTCAGTCATAGTTAATTGATGACCTTGTGGTGAATTTGTTGGTTTGAATAGCCATTGCCATAAAAGCAGGGTACAATAAAAGGTTGGTTGTAGAGCAAAGAATGGAATTAAATGTGGTTTTAACTTCCTACTTTTCTGCACCAACTTGGCTAATGAAGATGGACATACTCAATACAGTGTGCCCTGAGTGAAATTTTGCCTGGACAGCTGTGTTCCTTACTGCTCTTCATTAAATTCCAACTTTCAGCATGCCAACGAGTACACAGGTGGACCCCAGCTTTTCATACCCTTCAAAAAACTAGACAGTTTTTCCTGCAGCACTGATGTGAGAAAATAGGATGGATAATCCAATAAAACTTATTGGCCAACACCAGACTCAAACCTGTGACCTGGTTAATCATCCACCACCATATTGACTAAGCCACAGTAGCTTCTATACTAGCAAATTGGTATCGATCACCACATCATTATATTAAAAATATGATGCATCAGCATGGTATTGAAACCATACTATTAGTTGAATTGTATTTGATTAATTGTCTATTACAGACGATGAAAGTATAACTCGTTATATGAAGATATTGACGGCATCACCAAGTGATATTTTATCTCGCGTTATTTGTAGAGAAAAGACAAGTTTAGAAACACAATTACTAGTAACTGAGGTAAGATGGAGATTTAACATACAATATATTTGTTTCAGTAGACACAACACTGTAAAAATAAGGATTTCAATTCTATCCTTGAAATAATTTCTACGACTATTTATCAAACTTAACTACTTAGAAATTCTCATTTAAGAGATTTCTTTGAATTGATCAAAGTACTGTTTAAGCTTGAATCTTGTTGATTACTATTTCTGAGCTTACAAGGTTATGAATGCTTTTAATTTATTTAATGATACAATTCTATACCAGTTGATATTCTTACTTATGATTGATTTTATTTTTAAGGTATCCGAGATTTGCTTCATAGAGACTGCTCAAGCCCAGTTAAAGGTAATAAGATACTACTTGTTAGTTATTTGAACTCCCGATGGTCATAGCTAGTTTACACAAGTTAAATACATGTATACTAATTATGTAGCCTGGAAAAAAATAAATTAGAAGATGATTTGTATTTTTATGAACCGAAATTAGTGAAGTATTTCTTACTGTTTATGATGGACACTTTGACTACCACCATCTGCTAATTGCTTTGGTTGTGCTTTACTATTCTGCCACATGTACTAAGCATATGCCACATTCACCAAATCTGCAGAAGAAATGAAATGAAAGGGGAAACACTGCCCCAAACTCTTCTTGGCCAACACTGATGAAATCAAAGACATCCTGGTTCGTGAGCCAGCACCATCAGGACATCCTGGTTAGTGTGCTAGTGCCTTAGCCATAGAGGCACTATGACAAAAAAAGTTATATGTAAAGTGCAACTGAATGCAGTAAGAGACATTTGTTTTGTTGATTTTTTTTAAGGAAAGAGAGAGTATTTTACAAGTTAAAGCTGATGTAGAGAAGAATTTCAATAAAGTCTATAGTAAAAATAGTGAAGGCAATGCTGTAAGTTTATTATAAATATATTAGCATACAGTACCGGACTTAAAACCCTGGTCTTGGTTAACAACAAAATAACTAGAACAGCATGCTAAAATGTTGATCCCTCTATTATTAATGTCTGAAACATTTGAACAGTTCTGATTAATTTATCCTTTCTTAAAGATTGTCATTTGTGGGATTTTGTTTATTCCTTGAAAAATACACTATCAGGAAAGTTGAATCTCTAAAGGAATATCAGGCCAAATATGTGGTTCAATTCCGTTCAGTATTTACAGACAATATAAACAATCCAGCACCACATAGAAGTGTTGGGGGTAACAATCTTCAATAGGCATTTTTTTATAAACCGATCAAATCCAAATTGAGACAATATCTATGCATAGTGAGTATTTTTAGGCATAATATTTAGATAATGCCCAAATGCTAAAAATGTCGATCTGCAACTTTTATGATATGACTATATAGTCCTGATCAGTAAATACAAAACCCCATTTCTTGAAAATAGTGCGACATTGTTTGGTAGAAAATAAACATTTTAGACTGTATATATATATTTTGTTTTCCTTTCAGAATATTTCCACTTCCTTCATAAGTGATGACAATATATCATCACGAACAAAAACTGTTTCTATTGGTTCAACTACATCTTTACAATCAGATGAATATCCAGTTATATCTGCCGGTAGATTTAAAACATTTTCTGAAAGCTCTTTATCAGATACAGATCATCTTACCACTGATATCAACCATGACAGTTCAGATTGTGACCCCTCAACCATGCCAAAAAGTCAATCAGTTCCACTGGCAATGGCTGAGGGAGTATGTTCCTTGGTACTACCAGAAGAATCTGTTACTGAGCCAGAAATGTCAACAGATGAATCGAAGAAAATGTTTCAAAAACCTAAAAACAAGCAGGTTTATTCTTCTAAAAATGGCTACTTCTGTTTCCAAGGTAACTAAATATATTTGGTTTTGCATCTTTTTCCAGAATGAACTAATTGTATTTTTAAGCTGAGGTAATCATAAAAGTTTGATTTGTGGGGCAAAAGCCAGTCAGGTATTCGTTGAATTTGTCAAAAAGAATCCTTTGTTTCCTTTCTTGTATAAGCCCCCCTCCCCCTCCTGCAGAGGGCAATATAAAAGTTATATCATTGCTTTTACTCGCACATTGTGGCGTCACTGTCTAAATATATTAAACACTAGTGGTTGACCCGGTGAAGGCCATGGGTATAGCCATGAACTGGTAGTAGCATAACTTCAGAAGTGGTAGTCCATCACCACCAAGCCTATGTTACCCAGCGGACAGAGATACCCCTATACACCAAATTTGCGCCTGGGGGCAGCTTTAGTATAGCCATCAACCCTGAACAGACAAACGATAGTCACAAATATTAGTATAGATAAATATGACATTGTTTCTAAATCCTGTTTAACAATAAAATTATATTTTACAGCTAAAGATGGGCAACAGATTTACATCCACAATATAAATTCTCGCTGTTTAACTCATGAATATGGAAGTTTGGAGTTATCTCCTAAAGAAATAACGGGAAACATCATTGATATCAGATCATTGAGTATGACTGAAGAACTACGAGCCAGGACCAAGTATTTAAATCATCTGCCATTAGCCTCTGAATTTTTATTGGTTGAGTTGGCTCTGAGGCCACCAATATTGTCTAGACAAACACTGGATCTTTTTCAAGGTAATTTAAAGAGTTACGATTGCGGTTATGCCTTTGATTAAAAAAAAAAACGAAACATTTTGACTCTTTCACCCGAAATATCTGTCATTTGCATTTTTCAGGAAATATAAAATTTTAATAAGAGATTAAAATACTGATTAAAGGGCCGCTTATCAGCAGATTTCAGTAACAGCCCTATGTGGCTTTGCATTGTGTTGACTATATCCTATATCTACAATTGATACTTAATGGCGACAAATTGTCAATTCAGCATATCTTTGTATTAGTGATCGGAATTTAACAAGTTTTGTACTTTAATGGTGGCCATGTTTGTATTTCTAGGTGAAATTGACCAGAAGAGAAGGTTCCGACAAAGGAAGGCTAATACTGAGAGACAGCGCGAGAAAAAGATAGTTCTTGAAGAAAACAAAAAATTAGGAATATGTAAGTTGATCAATTTCTTCATAATGTTAAAATCCTAAAATAATTGCCTGTTTGACATTTTGTCTAATATCAGAAATCGTCCCTAAAAACATATTTTCAACTCAAAACTTATAATTCTTTTCAAAACTGAAAGACTTGAACGGTACTTGGTGCAGCTCATTCTCATTAAAATTGGATGTCAATATTGTTCTGTTATAATTTTTTTGCACTACATTGACATCTGACATATTTTATATGATGTTGGGGGCCGAAAAATTAAGGTCCTGGGTAAACATTACCGTGCAAGCAAATGAACCCTTGGCAGTTGGAATTCCAACAAGAGTAGGCAGAACACAGCTACTCGGGCAAAATTTCTGTCATAGCAGACTGTGTGGTGTATGTCAATCTTCATTAGCCCAGTTGGAGCAGAAAAGTAGGATGTTAAACTCCATTACATTTCATTTCATTTCTCATTGATCGAACATGCTTTTGATTGAAAGATGGTAAGATGAAAATAAAGTTTAAGAATCCGAAAAAAAAAACAAAAAAAAAAACAGAATGAAATTATCTAATTTCATTTGGACATAGAGTGAGTAAAGCTTGTATTGTAGATTAAGCTTTATACGGACATTTCAACTTTGGGTTATGTTTATCATTACAATTATTTGTGACGTTTTATTTTACAGTTCCTGGATTAAATATATCATTAGAAAGTGAATATCAATTTCCTTCTTATATGAATCAGCCAGAACAAGTTAGTAGAGGACAACCATCATCTCCACCTGGTAATAATGATGTACAAACATCTCCTGTAGACATATCAGGTACTTATTTTACTCAATATTCAGGTGATTTTTAAAATAAAGTAAAACAAACTTAAATGAATAATAGTATTTCTGTCCCTCTGTTTAATATTGTGAATTGGTTGTTATAGAATACAGTAAACTTCGTTTCAGTCGGTTCTAAGTGGACTGACCAATTTTATCCGAGTTAAGCAAAGATCTGAGTTAGCCGATAACCAAAATTCAATCTTAACTCGATTAGAAATTAACTGTAAGAGTCGGATATAAATTGATTCAAAGGCACATTTCAAGCTTTTGTTCATATGTGCGAGTAGATAACTTCAGTTTTGGTGCAAGTAGATAACTTTGTTTTGGTGCGAGTAGATAACTTCCGTTTTGTCGCCATCTTTGAAAAATGTCCTAAATTTTCCTGGAAAGTGTCTCATACAGCAGACAGCAAGTTTCGAATTTTACAGGAAAATTCTGTTATTTCATCGCGTCAAATAGGCTGATTTGAGTCAAAATGATAGAGGAAAGTATTTTGGGGCTCTGTGCATGGAATACCTAACCGCGTTTTAGACCATCGGGACGAAACTGACAGTGAAATTCTGAACATACTGCCGATCTGACTTAGGCGAAGGAAAAAAGCCGGAATTAGATCAAATGGACCGAACATTTTGATCCGAGTTGAGCAAAGATCCGACATAGGAAATCCGACTTGTGCGCAGAAATTTAATTAGAAAAATGTGCAGGATCAAATTGTCCAAACGATTTTATCCGAGTTGAGCAAAGATCCGACTTATACGAATGCCACTTATGCGAGGTTTACTGTATGTTATATATAATAGGTCTGTCTCTATATGTTATATATAATAGGTCTATATGTTTTATATAATAGATTTATCTCTATATGAAGATAACTCCCCACCCATGTCCTCACCTGAAGATAATAACAGTTCTTCTGTATCTTTTGCTCAGGTAAGTTTTGTAGATCTTTAGATTTTTCAATTTACTTCTAATTAAAATAAAATTGACAACAATTCGGCTATATTTTATTTAAAATTCTGGTTGTGTTCTGTCTGGAAAATAGGAGCCACTGTGACTCAGTGAATATGATGTTGGTCCTGTATTTGATCCCTGTGTTGGCTGAGAAAGTTCATTGGGATTTTCCGGCGTAGTTCCCCCTTGTCAGATGTGTAGGACGGGTCACCTGGTAAGGAACAAGTTATAGTTGTTCGGATGGGACAAAAAACCAAGGTCCAGCTGTAGTGCTGCTATCCGGTCAAAAATTCCATTATAAGTGCCCTTCTTCATTAGCCCAGTTGGTGTAGAAAAGTAGGTTGTTAAACTCCATTTTTTTTTTTTTTTTTCTAATCTTTAATATAAACAAATTCTAAATAATAAAAGATTACAGTATTTAATTAGTTATGGCTTTTCTTTTTCTAGATGCTTAGACAAGGACCTGCCAAAGCTCAACAACCTATCTGGCCAAAACCTGTAAACAAAGTTGAATCATTTCCTGCACTAGGTGCTTCACGTGGTGCAGCTGCAGCTGGCGGTGGAGATAGTGATGGTAGTGATATGGAAGATTATGTACCAGTACCAGAATATGGTCGATCATTTGGTAATGCTATACAAGCTGCTCTAGATAATGCTGCTGCTGCTAAAACAGGTTAATATTTCTGTTATTATTGAAAAACTTTAATATTCCCAGTTATTTCACACAAAGTCAATGGTAAATGTGATGAAATCACTAAAATCTGGATAAATCTCATGTTTTGTAATATAATACATTTGATATACCTGTTACAACAAATTGATACTCATACATTTTATTAATTCCACATTTTTTCTCTAATTTCAGCTACTAAAACACCAAAACAAAAAGGCGGAGGTAGTGGTGGAAAAAATAAAAAGAAAAGTAAAAAGACAAAGGTCCTCTTCTCTACATCCATGACACGTGGTACGATAGATTAGTATGTGGAAATTATGTGAAAGCTAATAAACCTGCTTCATAACGTGTGGAAACAGTAAAATAATAAATGGATATAATGTGAACAATAACAAAAACTGTTTCATTACGCGTAGTATAATAAGATTAATAAATGGTAAACATGTGAACACTTAACAACAACTGTTTAATAATGCATGCAGTAGAATAATCAATTGAAACATATGAAACCTAACAAAGACTGGTTCATGTGGCTAAAGTATAGATTTTTATTTGGACAAATTGTTTTACTCGAGTTGAGAGTAATTCAGTTATATTGGGAATGTGAAATGTTTGTTTTACTAGTAGAACATGTTGGTAACACTGAATTACATTGACCTCTTTGATGCTTGATATATTTTGTATGCATTTGAAGTTATTTGATTCGAAAAATATTGATTTCATTCAAATTTGGAGAAAAAAAAATACCTTTGATGCTTGATATTTTTTTATGTTTTTGAAGTTATTTGATTCTAAAAATATTGATTTCATTCTAAATTGGATAAAATAAATACCCAGTTATAATGTTTTGTGCAGAATAGAATTGCTGTGAAATTTGATGTTGATTTGCCAACTCTTCAAAACATTTATATCGACATATTCTTTAATAAGAAAATCAGAATATTAACAATTTAGTTAAAATTTGTTTTATGGGCATACTTGGACACATTTAATGCATTTTGATGATTGTAATGATCTTTTATTGCTGAGTGTGGGCAGCTTTATTATAGCCAATATATGAGACAATGAATGATTAGTATTTTTTGTAAATGATTTTTCTACATGATTTAATTGTTTGATATTGTACATGAATCTTTTTATTTACAAACAGCAAAAATGTTGCATTTTTTTTTTTAATAATTTAATCAGAATTATTACTGGTTAAAGGGCATTCATTTATATTAGTAAATTTGGTTAATTTTGGTATGAAACAAGACATAAAGTTGAATACGGCATACATCAACTCTTTTTAATACAACGTTTGGGAAATGAAAAGGCATTAATGGAATATTGGATTTCTCATTACAATGGGGTTCTTTAATGAAATTTCCTCATTTTCAACCTGTAAAGCTTGATCTTCATTTTGTTTGATCAGAAGTCCAAGGAAATCCTATTCCATATAGATATCCATAGTTCCATTACAATCCATATGTTAAGGTACTTATTTGTAATTACTGTGCCCCAAATAGAGTTATCTTTCTTTTAATAGTTGTACTTTAACTCAAAAATTCACATGTGACACATAAAACTACTCAAAGGGAAGTAAATAATGTCAAGTGTATTATTAAATAATATATTAAGATGGTTGCCGTGACAAACATGTGACACACATAAAGTACTCAAAAGGAAGTATATATTGTCAAGTGTATTGAATAATAATTTATGATGTTTGCGTGAAAATATCGTCATATATATCCATGTTTTTCCACATTGCTCTAATTTAATTAATGCTGTTTATTGTAAGTTAGATGTAAAATAAGTTGTAAGTAAATTTATTACTATTGCATATTAGACAATATAAGATATTCCGTATACTTTTGTTGTGTACAGATACATAGATATATATTTTGATTTGCATTTTAATGGACTATTGTACATTAGTTCTGATTAAATTAATGAAACATCCCTTGTACACATATTTCTCATCACATTTTGTTTATTGTAAAGATTAGTTAAGAAAAATCATTGGTTACATTTTAATTAACATGGAAATGGACTAATTTGTATATTAGTACTGATTTAACTAAATGAAACATTTTCATCACATTTTGTTTAATTAAAAATGCATTATGTAAGATTTAGATAAAGAGCTGGCCATTCTTGTTAAAATAGTTTTGAAAAGTTTAATGAATAAATTGAAAATTTCATTCAAATTACTTTATTCTGAGTGGAGTTCTGACTGTTTGTTAAGATGTTCTATTATTCTAGCAATGGTACAATCAAGGCCAAGTCTTGGTAATCCATTTTATGGTTAAACTTTTAAAGCTCTCTGATGTTTTAATCCATTTAAATATCAACCATCTGATTATCTAGCGAGTTGATAATAGGCTTGTCATGTGAATAAAAAATAGTTTATATAACATTTGAAGCCGAAAAATAGGCCTTCAATAGGCAGATTTAACTCTTACATAATGCATCTTTAATTAAGATTATTGGTAAAATATTGTAAGTTTATGATTTATTATGTAGATAATTAGTATTTTAATTTATGTATTATAATACTGTTGACTTTGTTAATTATTGCTTTCAACAATATTTATTGAATAGAAACAGATTTGGTTCAGCACATAAAATTGTTTTTTTCAACTAAGCTTTATTTTATAATTGTATATTTAGTAATGCTAGAAGAAATTTCAATGTAAGCAGAATCATTCTTTGCCTGCACAACACTGGTGGTTATTTTATTTCGGAACTAAGATATGAACACCTATCTAAAGTTTTGAACTGTAATCAATTATATTGATTGTCATGGTTTGTTATCTCTTTAATTATTTCAGTTAAATGTTCTTGTTTATAAATGAGCCATCCTTCTGCTAGCCTTATAAAGCTACTAAATAACTGATTTATATTTTCTATCTGATATCCAATAAAACATGTTCAGCTTTAAACAGGTTTTTATTTTATTCTGATATTCTGTATTTGATAAAAAGGTTGTTCAGTATCTAAACATTTGATTAATAATAGGGAGAGGGGTTTACTATAGGCTATGCCTATTCCCCAATCCCTATTCAGATACAAATCTGAATAAAAAATATTGCTTATAGAAAAATAGGTTGTTCAGGAAGATATTTGATAAGGCCAAAAAAATAGTGCTGATCAGGTAACCATAAAACAGGTATTTTTTGGAAGGGACATGGGTGTTTTGTGTCCTTTTGGTCTTCGAAGGAATTATTAGTGAGCAGAAATTCGCCCGTGTATCTGTTATCACTCGTCACATCAGTCAGTTATATAGAGAGATGACTCGTGTTTTTCGTTGGCGTTCGTCACTTCCAATTCAGGAAAACTGTATTACTCAGCTATCGTAGCAATGATCTCTGTGTTAAAATTAAATTTGGAATGTGTTTAACCAGCTCTATCACATATGTGATAATGACTGGCACCAATATTGTCCTTTAAGTTCAAACAATGCAATATATGTAGATATGCTACTGCAATTTGAATGGTTTATTCTCTTAATGGATTTTACTGGGGTCAGGTATAAATGGGCCGACAGCTTGTGTTATATCTTTTCCTGCGTAACTTATGATTTGTTGTTTACCATGGTATGAAACAATGTTGAACTTACTCCAGAACTTCAAGGAGTGTTCAGTTGACCTGAGCCAGTCTTGGTTTCTCATCTGGCTTGGATAAGAATAAATTATACCAACCACAGTGACTAAAACAAGACCCTAAAGACTACCACACGTTTGGTCAGGTGATTCTACTTCTTGTCACAAGTACATTATCCAAAGTGCATGCAATTAAACCACCTTGACCCCCACCCTGCCATAGAGAACACAGTATTGGTAGTACATGTTGATTCAGTATAAAATAACTAAACTTAGAACCAGGATGAAATAAAGATCTCAAATTAACTAGATTGACCCTTCCAATTTAGGTAATGGTTCGCCAGTGGTCTGCTGGTCAAAAAACAAGGAAATTGTCACACCTGTACCAGTGGGTTTATGATGAATTGATTTTAATATCACTGGTGGTACAGTCAGATGAAGACAGCTGTTCACTTTGGGGTGTTCCCACTTAGCCGGCAGGCTTTGATGTCAAATTTTGCCGTTAATCCTAGAACAATGGTGTTATAAACTCATATCTTTTTTTAAGACTAAAACTGTATTGATTTTAACAAATTTAACTTTTATTAAATAACATCAAATAGCTTACACATATAAAAATATATTGATTTTAACAAATTTAATATTTATTAAATAAAATTAAATGATTTACACATATAAAAATGCATTACAATTTACACATTCTTGGTGTTTACAGTAGCTGGACAAGTTTTTGTTGAACATTTCCAATGGACGGCATTTGGTCTGCTTAACTTTATACTGAACTTGTAACCATTGTGTATTAAATATCGGCCACCTCGATTATTGGAGATAAAGCGAATATTAACCTGAACGTTTGCCATTTTAAAATAAATATAATTTCGACACAGATCGACCATCTATTTATATCAATATAGTGAATTGAATTCATGTTTGAAATCATAACGCCGGCATGAACTGTGTTCAAAATGTCATTAATTAGTTGGTTAATAAATTTTATTAAGAGGGATTAAGAGCTCATTAACGCTGAACACTAGTGAACAGTTCTTGAGTGACTACTTTTAAACAGACTATAGTTTTAAAATACCTGTATATTTAATTAGAACTACCTGGGCACAACTGCTACATGAATGTGCTCATGTGCACTTTGCAAAGAGTCAGTACGTCAGTCAGCTATTTGCTCAACCGGAGCTATGATAAAGTTCTAACAAACTTTTATTGAAAATTTTAATTGTACATATTTATCATGTATTTCATTTTGAATATTTATATACGTAAAGGATTTGATATATTTATTTTTAATTATATTTTCAACGATGTTTGTTTTTATTTACTTATTATATAAATACATCTCTGTGATATTTGTTTTTATTTACATATATAAATGCATATTTGTGATATTGTTTTAATTAGTCTCGTTAAATTTACCATGTTTGGCGCAATATAGCCCGGTTGGAGCTGACATGCCATTAAACAACATTTCATTCATTCATTCAAGCATACTTTACAAGTACATAATACTGAACAAGACACTATTACATTTACATAATAAAACTGGGATAACACAGAGCATACTAGATAAAATATAAATTAAAAAAAATTGTTTACTGCTGAACAGTTTGACTCTCCCACTCCGTATTGTGTCCGCAGCTTATATTTTTCATCTAAATAAATGGAGGTTTCCCACAATACGCTCAATTTGAAAATGTCAAATTGCGAACTATTTAAAGTAGTTACATAACTCAGCTGAACTTAAATATTTACCTTATCTGATACCAAATAGATATAATGGTTTGAAAAGGGGTTAATAGCTCATTTTTTAACGTACTTCTTTCTGGTTTTTCCTAGATTTTTTATCGTTATATTGGGAAACCCCTCTTAGAATGAATATCGTTTACATTATTTGTTGATTTTGTTTATCTTTGTCATAATTACCAGTCCAGAATGCCCTTAAAAACATAATGTATCACATGATGACTTCTAATTTTAGACATGACGCTCGGCAGTAAGTTTCTTTTTGATGCCAGGTAATTGGGGACGTATTGTACTGACATTCACGAGTTTAATATTATTGACATTTTCATTGTCAGCGTCCTTATGGTCCGTAAAAGTATTGTTTTTATCTTCCCTGTCTGTTGTTTTTGTATTTTTTACATCCATTTTTTCTGTGTCTGAAATATATAATACGAGCTTCTCTCTTACATACAACAATAAAGATCTGTATTCAACACTTGGTTTATATTTGACTTGAATAAAGGGATTTAGATTGAGCAACGTTCTAGGATGGATCCTGTACGTAGTGTCACTATTACTCTATAAATAACTGGAGATAAGTGCACTATTAATATAATTGGGAAAACCCAACCATCGACGTCATATCAAATAATTAAACTACTGTAAATAGAGGTCACAGAAAGGTATGGATAGATTGTATTGGACAGAAAGTGGAGCACGGATGTCAGTACGATATATTGCGCATTATAATTACATTTAAAGAAAAGGAAATTAAATGTGGTTAATAAATGTCCTACTGTTCTGATGTCTGAAATCATTCAAATCTTAAAACTATAAATTGTAATAAGACAAGTATTATCCATTATAATAAAATTGAACTTCTCCGTTTACTAATCTATGTATTATTATATACTTTAAGCAATACATTGTTACAACATGGAAATCTAAATATAAACAATTATTGATTCTTGAAGTAAAATCGTGATCTAAATCAATGAAATGAAAGAGGTTATTTTACTTAATTTACCTGGGATCAACTAGAAGTATGAAATATATCTTCTATTAATTCAGTTCACCGATGCTTTAAAATAACGTATCGAATTAATATCAAATCTTATTCTTGCAATTAATAACATAAAACATTTTACATACAATAAGTAAAGAGACTTGCCTTTAAATAAAAAATAGAATTCCAATATTGTAAATATTAGTACTGTTTATTCAAGTGACGACTAGACGATTTATATTCTTATATAACAAAGTTAAGCTGATATCTATATCAACTTCAGCTTCAAATTGTTGATAAGATAATTCACCGTAATGGAAATTTAAATGAATTTGTTTACGAAAGTTTACTTTAGTTTTAAAATAAAATACGCAATTTAAATCTTAATAATTAAATACGTATGACAATTACAGATGAAAATATACACATAATATACACACACAATATGATACTCCCATTCGAGTTATAATGTTACTCTAGGAAAGTGCTACCAGAATACGAAATTCTCAGTGTAAGAATACGGATCTACGACTATCACATTAATGTCCACGGTTTCGCTCTTTTCTTTTTTTTTACTGCAAAATGTTATAAATTACAACACCACTAAAATTCAACACAAATCAACACGAAACTTCTCGGATTGTGCCGACGTGTTTTGACCAACAGGCAACATACTGCACAATGTCGTAATATCTGCTGGAGTCAATAGGCCTAGACGCAAGAAATTTCTGATATAGTTTCACTTGTTACACAATTACACAAACACATGCCGATTCTTCTTTGATTGGTGATTCCATCAGATTTCTTTTACGTTTTGAATAGTAATTAAATTTAAAATGGTCGCTTAAACGCCCTTCATTATTAACTTGTCTCTCTAAATATAATGATTCTTGGCTATCTGAAACCCTGAGATAATATTCATCCGAGTGAAAGGACTGAAATATAGAGTCATCGCCATTTGATAGTTTACTTGTATATTTAAACCAACATCTATACTGATCTTTAGGAATATGTTCCGCTGTTCCATCCCAAGAGGCTGGAAGTTCATGTAGCACTAAGTCAATACGGTCTGGTTGATCTTGAAAACATGTTATATCAGGACTAATGCAGCAGCGTTTTCCTTCTATTTTCTTAGTAAAACAGACGACGAAGTAGTTTTCTTCCGCACCAGCTTTTTTATTTATTTTCTGAAACACTTTGAAGTAGTCGGATGGTTTAATGTCTTCGACTAATTCAACACGTCGATTTCTGATTGTCATAGTAGTAGTAACCTTCGAATGGGCTGACAACAAAACGCGTTTTCCCACATAGTGGGCTTTAACTACTTCAAAGTCTCTCGCCTGCATAAAGTCAACACAATTATCAACGTCGTCGCAATTTGTAGTATCTTTAACTCTTGATAACGTTTTATTGACATTTTCATTGTCAGCGTCCTTATGGTCCGTAAAAGTATTGTTTTTATCTTCCCTGTCTGTTGTTTTTGTATTTTTTACATCCATTTTTTCTGTGTCTGAAATATATAATACGAGCTTCTCTCTTACATACAACAATAAAGATCTGTATTCAACACCTGGTTTATATTTGACTTGAATAAAGGGATGGA